ATGAAGCTGCACCAGTGGGACATGCATCATTTGAGTTTGTTGTGCCACAAGGTGTTCCAATCAAAATCTCTCCTGCTGTTGGAACTGTGGAACCAGAAAAGGTAAGTACGGACAATCTTAGCTTTCTTTCGCCTGCCGGGCTATATTGATTGAAACCTTTCTTTGTTAACTCTGACTTGATTTAAAGTTCCTTGCAGACAGTCATATGGAAGTTCAGTTGAATGGTAAGTAGGCTAATGTATTTGTTTACAATCTTGTCATGATATCCACATTGTTTTGTGTATCAATCTGTTAAAAGTTGCAAGGAATACCTTAAAGAGCAATTCTCTTGATTGGAACCAGCCTCATGGATGAAAGTGTTATATATTTTGTATGAGTATCAGAAGTTGATATTCATGCCAAAGTAAAGGCCAATATTGTTAATGCTTATTTTCTAGGGAGGTAAGCTTAATTGATATTATCTTTTCAGTCCTACTTTCTATTCTTTTTCAGTCCTCTTTCAGTTGTGCATTGTGACATGCTTAATATTCGCAATCTTTTTTTTCTTAAGCTTTTCTTGTTTGGAAGTATAATTTGCCCACATGATGATGATGATGTAAAAAAAGATGAGAGGAAATTATGAAAAGTAAGGCAAAATAATATAAAAACAGTAAATGATAATTTAGAAAAGGTAACATTTTTCACACACTTGGCCATATGAGGTACAGTATTTCATAAAGCTAGCCACAATACTAAAAAAATGTAATCAAGGTAATTTTTCATTAAAGATACAGCAGCCATTTTTTTCAACAAAAAAACCTTGTGCATAAGCATCTACCTTAGAAATCGGGGGCGGGGGAAATCAGGGTTTTTTTTCATTGGAGAAAAGATTGTTTCTATAGTTAAAAAATGAAGTCTTTGTATAATATCATCACTGAAGAGAGTGATTAGCACAAGCTGTCATCTGTCCTGAGTATGACAATAAACTACATCTGCATCCTGGGTAGGACGATGGACTGCATCCAACAGCAAGGCTTCTGATCGTGAGGTTTGGTGGGGGTAACATGGGTTGCTAGTGTTCCCAGGTTCACTCTGATTCAGGGTGGTAGTGCTTGTTGGGGTCAGGGTGCTACAACCGCGTAAAAATAGGATTTTAGTACCAGCAATACATATTTGTAAAAAATTATTACCAGCAATGAATTTTTGAAGGAAAAATTATTACCAGCAATGAATTTTTTAAGGAAAAAAATTATTACCAGCAATACCTTTTTAAAGGAAAAAAAAATTTACCAGCAATACATTTTTGGAAAAAATATTACCAGCAATGAAAATCTTGTCAGCATTAAATAACCCATTGAGGTTGATATACCATTGTTTTGATCTGTTTCTAATTTATTCATTTGAAAATAGAAAAATATTTGTAAAAGAAGTATAGTTATTCTCTAGAAAAGAAAGAATAATTATCATTCACATTTCCTGTTTCTGAAACAAAAGATATTTGCATATACGATCTTCCTTTATGAGAAAATTGCCAATGGTTTAAAATACAGACAATGTTACCTTGAATGAAAAGTCAGAAAATTCAAGAAACATTGTACTTAATCATTATTTATGTGTGTCACTATGCATGAGTGTGTGAGTGAACAAGTGACAATGAAGAGAGACAACATTTTTAATAAATCTGACTTTCAACATGAAATTTGGCATGCCGTTCAGAAAGACAAATGGACCACAGTTTGGTCATAACTGATTGAAGATGTGTCAGTAGATATAATAATGTAAAATTAATATGGATAAATAATAATGTATAAATGTAGAGATATATGACATGATAAAAAACAGCCACAAGTGAAATCTGGTTGATGCTTTCATCTTATTCAACAAAACATCAAAGATATCTCAGCTTTTACTATTTTTAAAATGTTTTTGAGTGGTGCTGCTGAGGTGCAATGGTAACTTGAATACTTAAAAGAAAAAAATATGTTTGTTCAGTGTTACCAATATCCAAGTAACATTACATTTACACACACACACACACATATATATATATATAGTTTTAAGGTGTGCTATATTTATGGGATAAAGTGCTCAATATCAGAGATAAAGCATATGTAAATATAAAAGTGAACATTGAAGTCAAAACTCAGAGGTGACAGGCTGCTTCATGTTAGACGCAATCATCAGGCCACCTGAGTGTTTACTTCACTTCTTATATATATATATATATATATATATATATATATGTAGTGTGTGTTTAGATTTCAGATGTAAATAAATAAGGAGCGGAAAAGGCTTTGGCATAAAATATTTTCTGTTTCTTGTCATTTAATTTATAATGTAATCAATCCTGACTTGGCATCTCAACTTCACTCATTTTTCACTAATGTCACATGGCTTCCCTCTGTCTTTTCTACCATATTTCTGTCATATTTTTAAGGCAACTGCTCTGACAAGCTTTTTTGCAGGTGCCCTAACTACATGAATTTAAGCATGCTATTAGATTGGCATCTAGAGGGCTCACACATTTACTGTTGAAATAGCTAAATGCAACTGCCACTTTTACACCAACAGTTTCTTTTCTCACACTTGCAACCTTTTGGTGTAGGAATTAAACCCATATTCCCATCTCCAGTCATCCAGACAATTGTTTTATCACTGGCACATCAAACGTCCCAATCAGAGATATGCATTTTCTAAAAGTCTGCCATGACTAAATGGTTCTAGCATGCCTGGATAAAAGCTTGTTTTCTAGGATAAAGAGAATATAGGTTCAGGCGCTGCCAAGAGCTACATTTTCTGTCATAAATGTTGCTTTTATCTCAGTCTGTAAACATTAATTTCACTGTTTGAATATTGCCCTCATAAACATGTCTGTCCACTAGAATAATATTTAATAGTAACATTGTTATATCTTGTACTTAGATTGATATTACTGTAGCACACATAAGTCAACCATTACCAATTTTTTTTTTTATAAAAGATTAATTTTCTTCTAAACCAGACATTGAAGTGATTTATTTTTTTGAGTAGAACATTATGCACTCAAACAAATGTTATTAAGCATTATATGTTACCCAACTCTATAGGATTAACATTAATCATAATTATAGCATGTAGAATTCAAAAAGTTAGTACATTCCTGCTAAAGAATTTTATTCCATTCTGTAGAGTAAATTGATTTTCAAACCAAACTTGATTCTTTTCTCTTGTCAAGCATTGAAGTAAATTTAAATATAAGCAGAGCTCACAATGTTAAAATTGTTCTTATAAAAATATAGTTTTTGATGTACAGACACTGATCTAAAAAATTGCTCCATGTGGAAAAGAATTCTCTTGATTTTAAAGAATATCTTATTTATTGGCATAAGCTGAACAGTCGCTATCAAAAATGGTAACAAGCGAGAACACTATGCCAAAATTGTGCAATACTAGAAGAGAAATAGAATAGTTGGTGGTATAGATAAGTGACCTGGTTGACTGTGCATGATGATTGGTTTGTTATATAAGGAGATAAGGGAAGGAAGTATAAAAAAGATTGACTGTGAATGTTACTAATGCAATAAGAAAAAGAAGGCATAAGTGTATAAATTACAACAATGACATTTTTCCTGAAGACGTTTCAAATCTGTGGCATATAAAAGGCTACTGGGCAAACTCTATGGAATCACTGGAAGATATTTTCTCAATTATCAAATCCTACCTGGTTAGTTTTAACAAGCCCAAGCATGATCAAGCCGTGAATGGAATGCTGCTGCCATATATATATATATATATATATATATAGGTATGTGCTGCCCAGTTTTGCTAAAGTCCAAAAGTGTCTACATATCCTCGTGGGTGGTGAATGATTTTCCAATTTAAAGACACTTTCCCACAGATGGAACATCGCAAGCCTTTTGCTGCTCCATTGCTATTCCTATGGAAAAAGTGTTTGAATGAACTCCATTCCTTACTTCACCAGAAAAATGACAATCAGTTTTCAATCACCTCACAGCAATAACTACTGGATAAATTAATTTCTAACTTAATATAAAAGTAATGAAAATGAGAAAATCTGATGATTACTGAAGCCTCCTGATGAGTGGGCAGAACAATTACTAAACAAGAACCTACAGAGTTGATTAGCTAAATATAACATCAATCTGCTGTGACTCATTTTATTTGTATTATTCTCATATATATATATATATATATATATATATATATATATATATATATATATATATACTAACAGTAGAGCCCGGCGTTGCCAGGGGATGTAACAGTAAGAGATAGATCAAGTATCGACCATCATAAAGACTGAAAAATAAAATTGACAAAGATTATTGTTTAAGGTTGATGGACACACATGTCTTAATTAGTTTCTTTTTTTTTTTTTTACGAATTGGTCAAACCCAAACTCAAACAAAAACATTGTTTTCAATCGTTGAGTCTACTGATTGAATAGAATTTTATTATAAACAATTGTCTTGTAAATGGAATTTTTAAAGCATTCTGAATGTAAAAATAAAGAAAAAAAGTGTGCAAGAGAATAAGAAACACTACATGCCCAAAAAAAAAGTGAAGTTTTTTGTTGAAATTGGTTGAAAATGTAGGTAGCCTTTCTGTAATCTTTTAGTTTTACAATTTATGATTTTTACTTATTGAATACAGTAAAAAAAAATTGCATATTTTGCTTGTGGTGATTCATAATTAGAATTCTGATTTGAATATATTTTTCACTTGTTGTTTCTAATACAAAAAATATTAACTTTATTTGGGTTTATTAATTATGATCTAACAAATCTTATTCATTTAGTAGCCTTCTCTGTAATATATAATGATTTTTACTTATTGAATACAGTAAAAAAATTGGACACCATGTGTATTTAAAGTAGTTTCCTGTTCCAGTTATTATTTTTAGTTAGGACTTGTGTATGTTTAGATTTCATTATCTTTCCCTAAAGATAAAGAATTTATTCCGATGTTTGTATTCGTACAATCAGTAGAGATCGTTAGATTATTGTTTAAGGTTGATGGACACGCATGTCTTAAATAGTTTTTTTATTTTTTACGAATTGGTCAAACTCAAACAAAACATTTTTTCAATTGTTTTTGAGTCTACTGATTGAATAGAATTTTATTATAAACAATTGTCTTGTAAATAGAATTTTTAAAGCATTCTGAAATAAAAAAAAAAAAAAAAAAGTGCAAGAGAATAAGAAACACTACCTGCCAAAAAAAAAAAAAAAGTGAAGTTTTGTTTTATCGGCTGAAAAATATAGGAAATTCGCTCCCATATTTAAAGGAACCCCCACACACAAACAACCCGATGTGAGTTGTTCCATTTTCACGATGTCTCTTAATCGTGTTTTCAAATTGATTTTGTGAAAAAACAATTATATTTTTCCCATTTTTGGCGCTATTACAACCACCACAAGGTAATTTTATGTAGTTCTGTGAAGTTTTGTTGAAATCGGTTGAAAAATGTAGGAAATCCGATCCAATATATAAACGTTACAGACACACACACACACACACAATCTGCGTTTTATAATAAGTAAGATATATATATATATATATATATATATATATATATATATATGTATGTATATGTCTCCATCATGATATATAATATATATATGTGTGTGTGTCCATCGCATC